AATTTAGCTACACAAAAGTCTGTAACTAATCCTAAGCAAATTTTTCCTGCTATAAGGCACCACTTATTCCCACCATAAGTTAATTTTGCTATGCAAATTTTTTCTAGCTAACCCGTCGGTAAATTAAAAATTTCTTAGCTACACAAAAGCCTGTAGCTAATCCATAGCTAAATCAAAACAATTTTTTCTCACCATAAAGCGCAACTTATTTTTGTGAATTTAGCTACGAAATTTTTATCCCTAACTAATCTCTAGCTAATTAGCTAGGGATTTTCTTCGGAATAATTCCATAACTAATTTTCGTAGCTAAATTTGATTTTTCTTGTAGTGTTAAAATTCTTAGACTATCATTTTTACCCCAAATATTAAGTTCTTTATTCAGAAAATTGAAACTAATGGATTTACCTAAGAGTTTCATTATTAGCGTATGTTTTCAAAGATTACACCACTTTTCGTAGTCCTCCAGAGGGATTTTAAGTTCAGAGCAGAGGTTTTGGACATTCTTATTGTCAATTACAAGTTCCTCAAACTCCAGAGAAATATTAAGGTCTTCTAAAACAGAACTAATAATCTTGTCATCCACTAATACAAGATCTAAGTCATTATTAGCAAGAATCTTATCTTTGTATAATGCCAAGAAACGATTGGGGGTTAGAAGGTACTTGATTCGAGACGTTCTCATCTAGGGAATCTTCTTGCATTTTGGTTTCCAACGCAGCTTCAAGAGAAACTAAGGCTCTCTTAACCTTCTTCTTGCTGCAAAACAAGAGGTCTCCTTCCTTGGAGCACTTAAAAATAATATTTCAATAGATAATTTTTTCTCATAAAAATAAAAATAACAACACTTTTTGTTTAAGGGTTAAATAAATGTTTTTCAAAATTAAAATAAATTTGCACATAACTCTTATTTAGATAGACATTGTAGGGTGTTAATACCTTCTTATACATCAATGACTTTCAAACTCATTTTTTGTTTCAAACATAACTTTTTACAATTTTCCTAAAGTTTTTTTTAATAAATTTTGACGACAAATCCTTTATTTTTTAATCTAATCCACCTCTATAAACGTCGCATAAGGAAAATTTTTGAAGAGTTTTTAAAAATAATAAATTCTACACTATCCTTTAATTTTAATTTTCTCAATAATAAATGAGTAAATTAGTTTAATTGCATTAATTCTTCTAATAACTAATTGACAAGAAATTTAAAATTTTCATAATGAAAATTTCTTTTCACCTTGAACAAAAGGTGGTAAGGGTTTCAATGAATGTTTTAAAAATAATTGTCTAGGAAAATTATAGAGTAATCGTTAGTATTTCTTTTTGAAAACTTTCTAATAATAAAAAAATCTTCAAATTAGAGATAAATAAAATAATTAGGCTTAACACGAGAGAGTATTTTTCTACTTTAATAGTGTATAATAAAAAATAAACTTAAATCAAAATGAAATATCTTAAACAAGAATAATAATATTTACTAATTATCATAGTATATCCTATAATTTTTTTAAAAAACTTTCTAATAATAAAAAAAAATTCAAATTAGAGATACAATAAAATAAAAAATAATTATCAAGGGAAATTAATAAATTCTACAATATCCTTTAGTTTTAATTTTCTCAATAGTAAATGAGCAAATTGATTTAATTGAATATTTTTCTTATAATTACTCTAACAGTGCATAATCAGAAATAAAATAAAATTAAAATAAAATACTTTAAAAAAGAATAATAATATTTACTATATTTAAAATAATTATCCATAATTTTAAAAATATTTCTTGTAATCATTTCCAACTAAGAACTCAGTTTGCACGGTTTGCTATTAAAGGACCAACATTTATGTGAAATAGTGTATTTGTACTTGATGGATAGTTACTACAAACCTTCTTCACAACTTTCCAATAATTTTAAGAAGTTTGTCTAACTATTTCCATAGAGTGTTCTGTTTTTCCTATCTCCCATTTATTTCTATTTGCTTATTTGTACTAATTGACTCAGTCTATTTTAGAATTATAATATCTAATACTCAATAATGTTTCTATCCTCTTATTTCAGAATAGACATGTTCATTCATACTTCATATATTTTATTTAAATATATTGTTTGATTTTTTTTCTTAAACACTAACAATTGGTTAGGTTCTTCATTGTCCCTTAAGGTTTTAATGATTGAAAGTTAATTTGGAAAGTAATTTTGGTACTCCTTTTATTGATAGAAGATGGCTCCCAGTTTGGACAAGATTTCTGACATTTCTTCACTCAGATCAACATAGAAAATTAAGGCACGGATAATTCGCAAGTGGAGTATGACTAGATATGATAATGAACACGATATTATTTCTATTGAAATGGTTTTGCTCGATGTACATGTGAGTTATATTACTATTGAATTAGTCATCACTTTGTAGGGGATAATCATAATATTTTGAACTAATTTATTTTTCTTAACAACCTCAAAGTGAGGTCACTCCAAGCATCTATAAGAAAAATATTCATAAATAAATTTAAAGACATGCTTCGTGAATATGAACTTTATATTTTGTTTGAAGTGGGACAAAATACAAGAGATTATCGTTGCACTAGTCACATTTTCAACATCAACTTTCGTTCGTCTTTATGAACCTACTAATGTTATTCATCAATTTAGATTTACATTTATCTCATTTGGTGATGTGTTGTCTTCTAGAATTGATGATCAAATTTTGGTTTGTATATCATTCCTTCTATGATACTTATAATAATGTGATAAATAGTGCTTTGGATATTCATATAATGTTGTAGGGTCATTGATAATTATTTTTTAACCATTTAAATGTCATAAGAAGAGTTAATGGGATTAAAGATTCGAAAGAAGCTTGCACAGATGGTGTGCATCATAAGAAGTTGATTTTACATCTTAAGGATATTGAATATGTGCTTTTGGTTTTTTGTTTAACCTTAGTTGTTTATAATTTTGCTTTCATTGAAAATTTTGATTTTCCTTTAATATATATTTAAATATTTCGTTAATTTAAATGTCTAAATTATTACATAAGAATGCCTTTCAAGTTTCAATGTCAATAATTTCTAATTGCAATAAATTTTGTAATGATCATGAATAAAACCTATGGTTAAACTTTATCTAATGTTGATCTGTATTTATTAAAACCTTAAAAATATAAAAAGTCTTAAGATTCTAACATACTATAAAAAAAACATTGTTATAAATATAACTGTAAATATTATATAAAAAAGTTTTAAATAAATTTTTGTAATGCTTAGTTGGTTGATACAAATTAATGAAATGTAATTACAAAAGTTTTTTTTAATAAATTTTCTTTACATTAATAATTATTATTTTCTCATTAAAATGTTGTGCAATACACGGATAAAATACTAGTATATATAAAAGTTGCCTAGGACTTTGTCATTTTGAAATTTCCTTTTGATGGGAGGATTATTCTTCCAAGTAAACAAGGAGAAAAAAAAATTTATAAACACTTTTTATAATTTTAAATATAAGGAGGTGTTTTTCTACCGTTAAAGACCGATTGAAGTTGTTAAATAAAATTAGAATATTTAGAACATGTTTATTTCCTTTTTAAAAGCAACTTTTTATTTTTTAAATAAAATTTAATATAAATTTGTATTTAATTTTATTTTTAAAAATAGAAAATTATTTTTAAAAGAGAAAATAAATATTTGTGTTTGTATCTTGACAAGACATTCAATACACTCATGTAGTTTTGTCAACAAGTTATGTGATTTTAATCAATAGGAAACTTGATGCGATGGTTTACCTATAATTTAGTCATTCCTTGTTGAATTACTATTTAATTATTTATTTTTTCCAATGGAAAGAATTGTAATAACGGAACTTACATCATCAATGACCCATTAATAATTATTTGATTCATGTTAACGATGTGATTTTTTTTTAATACATGTTCTAGAGTATATGTTAAAATAATAATTTTTATAGTTGTTAATAAATTTTAGTTAATAATAAAAATATATTATAAAAAATTTAAAATATTAAAAAAATATCGTAAACATATTAAGCATACCTGGTCAACGCAATGACTTCGGATAAGCCTCTTAAAAAATTATTCCTCTTGGCAGAAATCAAAGCGGTGGGAAATACAAATTATTAATTTGGTATTGTAATAAATAAAATCACTAATTTTAATTGTGTGAATAATTATTATAAAATGACGTTTTTATAAAATTCACTATATGTTTTTAGTATAAACTTTTCTTAAAAATTGTTAAAAATTTATTTTTAAACAACTAATAATAACATTTTTTATATTATTTATTAAATATATAATAATATAAAAAATATATTATTTTATGTTATTATATTTTTATTTGATTCTATATTTAATTGAAGATTTATTATATTTTTATAAAAAAAATATTTTTATCACTCACAATAATTTTATCCAACGAATAAATTATGAAATAGAAACATTACTACGTTGTATATAAAATATTATCTAGATCTGTCTGCCAAATAAATATTTAGTTTCACATTGAATTTTGTATCCCTGTGCAAAGAAAATCTCTTTTTGATTAATTTGACTGAAAGCTGTTTTCACCCATTTTAATATATATAATCTTTCTTTCTTATTTGTTATTTCTTTTTACTTTAATACTATAACTTATCTTTTGCTCATGTTTCTCTCATTACTTAATGGTTATTATCATTGAAATTTGTGCAGCATTCTTTTTAGTCATAGCCCCATGCTTTCGATATTATAGATATAATATTATATTCTATAATAATTTATTTCAAATATTTTTTTCGATATACACTTACACAAAATTATTTAATGGGAGAATTTTAATTTATTCAAACAAGGAAAGGGTATGATAAACCGTAACGTAATGTCATTAATAAACTCTCCCGTAGTTCCTAATTGACCAAATCCAAACTTTTCCCACTTCCCCTCCCAGCCTATAAATTCTTCCATTGATAATCTTTTTTTCCTTCATATTCCAACTTTGCATAGCAAAACATAACCATAAAACCATGGCTACCCAATTCTTGCTGTTTCTTCTCATGATCTCTTGCTATGCCTTAACCATAGTGAAAGCAGATGACACGGGTTTTGTGGGTTCAGTAGACCCTTCAGTGTTGGAAAAGAAACAAACTATGAGCCATTTTAGGTTTTACTTTCATGAAATCTTCAATGGAACCAATGCCACCTCAGTTACCGTTGTTGATGCTTTACCCAAATACAACACAACCACTTTCTTAGGTATGGTGGGCGTCATGGACAACATTCTCACGTTGGGACCCGACCGTAATTCGAAGGCTGTGGGAAGAGTTCAGGGGTTGTATGCTGCAACTTCACAAACGGAGGTTGCTCTTGTTCCCGTTTTGAACTTCATTTTATCCCAAGGAAAATATAACGGTAGCTACATCACCGTGTTGGGGTGGAACCTCATCAACCTCAAGGTGAGAGAGATGCCTGTGATTGGTGGTAGTGGGGCTTTTAGGTTTGCTAGGGGATATGTGGAAGTTAATACTATCTTTCTTGATATCCAAACAAGGTCTACAATTGAGTACAACATTTATGTTTCCCATTATTGAATGGGTTTTTTGAGAAATGCATTTGAGTTATGGTATTTTAATAGGATATTCTCGTGACACATTTCATGAATAGAAAAGAGAATGTGTAGTAAAAAAATTAATATAATAAGCGTCACGAGAATATGTGGTTAAAATAATATTATTGCATGTATTTTTCATTTTGTTAATGTGACAGACTCAGTTTCAAATTTCAATGTTAGCTCTATGATTAAGTATTGGTAGAGTTTTACCTACTTTTTCATTATTTGTTTTTAACGTGTTATCATTATTGTGATTCAGTGAATCCTATATATAGTTGAGTTATTTGACTTCTATTTCTTTGAAATGGTCAAAGAAGAAACAGTGTGCAATATAAAAAGAATGGAGTACAAGAGTAAAGGACGAGTATTTAAAGGAAATTTAAATTATATATAACAGCAACATGTACGATTATTTGTTTTTCTATAAATCTTTTCTTTTAGAAAACAAGATAAAATGGTTAAATGAAAGGGTATTAATACAGCTGCACCTAAACATTAAATATGTATTTATAAATTTAATAATAAAATGTATTTTAATAAGTTAAAAATAATTTGTGAGATTTATAAACTCTTTTCTATAAACTTTTAGCTAAGTCAACTAGCAATATTGAGTAATTACAACGGTTTAGCGTTCAGAAGCCAAATTATATTTCTTAGCATCGTTCTCCTTACGTTATTTATTCATGTATATTATTGTCATGTCTATTCTACAATTTTCACAGGGAGATTCTTTACAGTGATTAACGGATTTTCATCGTGTGAAATTCTGTCACTGGTAGTTAGTGGCGGGTAAGAAATTACAACAGAGGATTTTGAAGTTGAAATGATTTTATTTATTAATAATCAAACTTAACCGACAACTTGGGTCCATAGCTCAGTGGTAGAGCATTTGACTGCAGATCAAGAGGTCACCGGTTCGAACCCGGTTGGGCCCTGAAATAATTTTAAAGATTTTGCTTATTATATTTTTGCTTTGCAAATTGCAATAGTTTCAAAAATCAGAAGTCACATAATTGAACAGATTGCGACGGTTTATCTGATAAGGATAACTCAGCAAATTAGAAAATAGAAGGCTCAATCTCCCTACTCAAATAAAAAAACATTTATTATATTGTATATATTTTATATTTTTATTTAGATACTCTCTCTCTCTCTCTCTCTCTCTCTCTATATATATATATATATATATATATATATATATATATATATATATATATATAGTTTATTTGTATAAATTAATAAAATATCATATTTTTCGTTATAATTTTATTAATTTTTGAATAAATTTTTTAGAATGAATTATTTAATTTAAGCATTCAAAAAGTAAAAAATACTAAATATAAATAATTAAGATAAAAAAAATAAAATTGCACATTAAATATAAAGACTAAAATTGAATATAAGACAAAATAAAATACTATAGTAGTAATTATAATTTTTTTCTTAAGATCTGTACATTTTAATTTAGAAATATTTATTACTTCTCTTTGTTAGTTAATTATATTTTTATTTTCTTCCAATTTATAGTTTTTCATTATTATTATTATTATTAAACTCCCATAAATTTTGGATTAAAGTAAACATACTCTAACAAGTTAATAAGACTAAGATCATAATTAAATTAAGAAAGATAAGAAAATGTAACATTTTTACTTAGGAATAAATTAAGAACGTATCTGAAAAACAAAAGAGTAAATGAATTTACCTTTTATTTTATGTACCCTTAGACTACGGTTATTTATATATATTTTTTAATTCATCTCACCTATTTCACAGTCTTTATGTACACTAAAATTTTAAAAATGTTTAAAATTTTAAACCTACACGTGTTGATCAAAGTATAAAGTGCAAAATCTTTTAAGTGGATGATTTTAAATTTATCATGTATTAGTCTAAAAAATGATAATTTATATGGTACTTTAAAGATAAAAAAGCATTTTATACTATTTGTATATGCGCTAATTATAACTATTAATGTTATATTAAATATGAATAATAAATAATACAATTAATAGTATATTTTAAAAAAATATAAATATTTTTTAATTTTTGAAATATTTAAACAATAATAACTGTGGATTTTAAGTTTAACTTGCTATCTAAAAAATATGTTAGAAGAAATTTTGCTTTAACGTTAAGGTCTTTTTTCTATTTTATCTAATAAATTTATTTGATAGTCTTATTTCATTTTTTTAAGTATAAATTTTATTCTGTAAAATAATTTAAGTTAGAAATAGATAAGTAATGATGACATTATTAATTTATTTTATTTGAATATACATCAAATACAAACTAAGGAGTATATTTTATAGTTCTATCCTGATTTTATAAATGACTCATATTTTATCTATTTCATTCTATTATATCTACCAAATGAGACCTTACAGTGTTTGAGAGTACAATTTTTCACTTGTTTAGAAGAATGATATATAAATAAAAATATATAAAATTATGAAATTATATATTCACCTAATTGTAGCTAAATTTTATTTAGGACAAAAATATGTAGATATTTAGAGAATAACTTTAGGCATATTAAAGGTAATCCTCAGTTTTAATAGCAAAAAAAAAAAAAAAAAAGTAATCCTTAGTTTAACATATGCGAATTTATTCTTTTGTCGATCCCATTGTATATATTTTGTATTGTCATGAATCAACTTTCTCTTATTTTCCATTTAGCCATGTCCAAATTTTTCCCACTAGCCCTCACCGTTCATAAATCTTTTCATTCATTCTCTCTTTTATCTTCATTCCAACTTTGTAGCAGCAAGACTTAACTTACTCTAACCACAAACCATGGCTACCAAATTCCTCTGCATGGGTTCACGAAAAGAATTAGTGTAACATCCTTCTTTTATATTGAAATTAATTTATATTTAACACTAATATTATTAAAATATAATTAGCAAAATTTGTATATTTTGTTTAAATAGTACAGTATGGGAACACGAATTAGAAAATCTGACAAATTTACAATATTTCTTCAGAAATATACAAATATATTCTTAACACAAGATTTCTCTTTTAAAATAAATGAAAATACATTAAAGATTTATACATCTATTTCATAAAATTTTATTATATCCAAACAGTTCCTTTCCTACAACTCCTTGATGAGTATAACCCTAGAACGGATCATTTGTCTATATTTCTTCTCTTTCATTACCTGAAATAATCAGTAAGGGTGAGTATTTTCCGCTCACTAAATTTCTTTTAGTATATCTTAACTAATAATAATAATTAGAGTCGTAGCTTAATACTTTATTCTAATTCATTCTCATTCAAATACATATAATCATACAATCATTCATCAAGCACATATAACATTTCACTCATTATACATACATTTCTATGTTGACTTGTATGTTATTATATATGTATCATATTATTTCAATTCATGTGTCACGATACATCTATCCCAGTAACACCCGTCGATGTACTACAACACACGTATCATAACAACATGAACTGGTCTGCTACGATACATATATCATATCATACATATTCTTTACCACATCTTATCTATATCACTTTTTATCATAATAATTGCCCCTGGGATCCCTTGAGGACTTCTAGCATAGATAGCTGCTAGTTGGCCACAACATCACGGATACACATGTGCCGACCTGGCCCCTTTTAGCAAAAGTATAGTCAGGAGCTTCGTCGGGAGATGAGGGTGTGGCCTGTGAATGTTTATTTTCAATCATTTATTGTGCACCATTTTCATTGTTAACATTCACCATTCTCATTTCTCCAAGATTTTCCAAATCTTCTCCTTAACTCTATACCCCAGTGTATTTCTATACTATCTATACTCATTCTCTTTCTCATTCTCAATATTTCTCATTCCACATTCTATATATCAATCAGCATGTCATGATTCATGAGTCATAATTTATATAAATTCATGGATTACAATATATATGATAACACACCCTTTTCAATGTGCTATAATTTATATCATAATCACTCTGTTTCAAGTTGCATGGACTCATGCATTATAATCACTCCTCATATTCTTTCTAAATCATATTCTCATTTCTCATTCATACATCACATGCTTTCACTTTCATTCAACACTTCATTCATTTCCATAATTCTACCAGTTCAACATGTAAAGTTGTCATACAAAGTCATATTACGCAACCAATACAATATATCAAACTTATCACAGAGACTACCACGCAATATCACATCATACAATCAATACAATATGTCGAGGGTCGAACACCTTCGGACTCAGCCCAGCTCGTATAATCTCAATATATAGTCTCATAACCTAAAGTTCATTATAGTATATCTTTTATTACTTAATTCATATACATCTTAAGGAACTCAGTTCTAAAATCTCTTAATACTACTTAAGCCTATATTTTCTCTAAAAATCTGATATTATCAGCTTAAAATAAACTCAAAACTCTCTTTATATCAAAATACACCTTTGTCATATGATACTATCAAAATTTACAAAACTTTACTATGTAAGATACTCATATTTCTCAAAGAACCACTAGATCTATATATACATATATAACTACAGCTAGAAAATACTCCCCTTACCTAATAACGGTTCCTTTAAACTAGTTCTCTGAGTGATCTACGGAGAGATTCCACACTATCCACGAAGAGATCTTCCAAAAGATAAGATTTTTTAAGTATTTCGAGGTAGAGATATTAAGATGAGAAGAGAACCAAAGAAAAGGAATGAAATATAGATCTGAGCTCCGAGAAACTTACTTAGATCCAAGAAGAACGGTTGTTTGAGCTTAAATCTGAAGAAGATTCAGAGTTATTAGAGGTTTTCTCTAAGAAAGGAGAGAGAGAGAGAACGAAGAGAATGGAGAGGGATATGTGATTTGGTTGAAAATAAAGATTTTAGGGCGAGAGTTCCTTAAATATCTCTCAAACTCGTGACTTTCTCGCTACATCGAAAAAATCAGAAGTTTTCTTCCTTTGTTGTCTGTCATTCTAGCTACAGCG